CTCTTTCAGATTCCCAGCGCTTGAACTGAATACAAGGATGGAAGCTGACATCATCTAGAAGCCTTGGGTTCATGAAAGAAAGGGAGAGCTCAGGCATTCCGATAGCTTAATACAAGCATCAATGACCACCTGGATTTCTGCAAAGACTGTAGATCCTGATTTATCTATAATTGCATCTATTTCTTCAACAACATCAAAATAGGTTTTGTTATTTGTGTACTTTACCTCTGCCCAGTGCCATGGGATGTTGGACAGCTGCCCAGAGGGGAATGTGTCCCCAACATTACTACTGCCTGTAATAGAGTTGACAACAGAATGTAGAATTGTTGGTGGCTTTCAAATAGCTGGTGGAAATCCATTATCTAACATTTCTCCCAAAAGCTCATTTACTATGACAACATTATCTTTAACTGCAGCCTCCAGGCACACACCAAAGCAGTTCTGAAAAGTGTTAGTAACTTGATGTAGGAACTCAATTATGAAAAGAGGCGGCACTTCAGTCTGTACGGTGGACACGAAAGAGAGCTTATCTCGGTGGATACTGATAAGGTAGTGGTGAGGTGGTGAAATGACAGGTGGTACATTTTCAACATCAGCAGCTTTCTCCTGAGCTTCAAAGACATAATCACAGACTGGCTCACTACACTCTTCCAGTGCTCCTCTAGAAATATGTCACCAGAACAGTTTATGAGAAATAGACTGGCAATCATTTTCCCGACACCGGGGCCTGTCAGTGATTCGACGTGAGGGCCTCTGCAGACCAGTACTACAGTTTTAGATTTGAGTTGGAGTCAGGGAGGGTCTGCTGTGGATAGCAATGGCAGAAACTGCTAGTTCAATGGTAATCCTATCCTTGCTACATAGCATTAGACCCCTTGTTTTTTTTTTTTTCCCCCAAGCTAAAGCCACCTGAATAAAGGCTATATTACCTCGTAGTCCTTGCAGTTGGTGTGGCTATAAGATTAAAACCCGGTCAATGGAATACTGAGGCGCTGTCCCATACTTATTTTTTTCTCTTTCTTTTCTTTTTTCTTTATTCCTAATATAAATGCTCCTGCGTGCCACATGA